GCGAGAGTACAAGATGGAAGATGAGCAAACCGAAATCCTTTGGAGCATTTCATCGAATACATTGAAATTCACTAATGCACTATAATGATCTGAGTTTGTGTTCTTACTAAGCACATATCCATGGACAAATATAATAGGAATCCTATTAGTTTTTTTTCTAGGTATGACCGATCATAAACATGAACAAAGATACAACTCATTTAATCATTTCTAAGAAAATGAAAGTCACAACGCTAACAAAGTGCAGTATTTTAATACATTAGCTTCATACAAAAAAGATGGAAACATAATCTATTGGTAGGTTTAATAGTAGCATAGCCCAAAATAAAATTGAACGGGATTCTTGAACATGATAAGAATGTACCTTTCCTCCGAGAACATCTCTTGCCTCTAATAATATAGGTTTGTGGCCAGCATCAGCAAGGTATTTTGCTGTGGATAGACCAGCCAAGCCTGCCAGAAAGAAAAAAAATATCAAATCAAAATCAAGAGGAACACAAGAGCTCCAGTAAAACTGAATTGTATTGTATAGACCAACTCTTTTCACTTTTGCCAAGAACCATTATCAAGAAGCTTCAAACTGAATTGTATTCTTGAATAGACAGAAATGACATTCAATAACAAACTTACAGGTAGAGTGTTATACCTGCACCAGCAATTACTACTGCTAGAGGTTTCTTGGGCCGCATACAATCACGAAAGGATGCAGATAACTTAGCAGCTTCTAAAAAGTTAATGGTGTTTTCAAGCTCAGGCCTTGGATAATCCGAGCAGAAAACCTACACACAGACAAATGAATGTGGTCCTGTCGCAGATATATCTACAGAAAAGCAAACATCCACACTGTTTTTTTAAGAGAACCTGCATAGAGCCATTTGCAGAGTTTGATTTCACTTTTGAAAACCAGGGATCTGGAACTTCAAAGATGCAGCCCATGTAATCACTACTTCTTGATGCACTTAACTTGTTCCATCTAGGGTCCACATCAATGGAAGATTTTCTAGCAGGATTTACATCCCAAGAGCTTTTCTTATAGAGATTAACACAAGGAGGCCCAGCAGAAATAAATCCAACAAGAGTCATGTGGCTAGGGTTCCAGAATCCTGAGAAAACAAATATCAGATGGCAGTCTAAAAAGATAAACCTCTCTACAAAAACATTAATCAATTCCAAG